GGGTAATGAAACGTCTGCAAGAAAACCCCCGAGCTCAGAGAGCACCAGGGCCCCTCTATGAAATTGGGAGATCTTCTAATCTTCATACCATTCAGGACAAAGGACTATCCACTCTGTGGCTCACATGTCGCATGTTTGTTTTGACCACAAGTGGGTGACAGAACCACAGTGGGCTGGCCTCGTGCGCTATATGAGCCTGTGAGCCTGTAAAAGGCCGTTATGCATTTTATAGACTTGTGCGTGACTCAGCAGCATCAAAAGAGACAACTATAAATGGTGTCACTTTGGGGGCTAAGTTAAGCTTTGCAAGAAAAGCTTGGTGGCTGAGTGGCTAAGCCATAAATTATGGTTTTCAAACCACATGGTGGGATTAGCACTCGGTCCAAACTAAACAATTTGCAGGATGGTTAAACCCAATGCAGGGACCCTGCTGGTGGGCAGGGCTATAGTGTTTGAACCTTACTTTATCATACAAGCCGTCTGGGTAGTTAATTTCCTCCTAGTTTACTCACAGAAATACCCCAGGGCAGAGTAATTGAATAACAGAATAATAGAATTGGATGGGACCTTGGAGGTCTTCTAGTCCATTCCCCCCTGCTCACACAGGAGACCCCATACCAACAAATTATGAAATAGTGTAATGGGTGAACTCAGCCACTGTGGTAACTGGTTACTGGTTAAGTTGTATATTACTGATGCAACACACAAAGATACATCAGGGTAAACTATGATGATGAAGAGGAGGATAAGGGGGGACATGAGAGCAGTGTTCCAATATCTCAGGGGTTGCCACAAAGAAGAGGGAGTCAAGCTATTCTCCAAAGTACCTGAAGGCAGGACGAGAAGCAACGGATGGAAACTAATTAAAGAGAAGCAATCTAGAACTAAGCAGGAATTTCCCAACAGTGAGAACAATTAACCAGTGGAACAACCTGCCTCCAGAAGCTGTGAATGCTCCAACACTGGAAGTTTTTAAGAAGATACTGGACAGCCATTTGTCTGAAACAATGAGTTTCCTCCTTGAGTAGGACTAGAAGAGTAGGACTTGGGTTGGACTAGAAGATCTCTAAGGTCCCTTCCAACTCTCTTATTCTGTTCAGTGTTCCAGTCTCAGGGGCTGCCACAAGGAAGAGGGAGTCAACCGCTTCTCCAAAGCCCCTGAAGGCAGGACAAGAAGCAACGGATGGAAACTAACCAAAGAGAGAAGCAACCTAGAACTAAGGAGAAATTTCCTGAGAGTGAGAACAATTAATTAGTGGAACAACCTGCCTCCAGAAGTTGTGAATGCTCCAAACACTGGAAGTTTTTAAGAAGAGACTGGACAGCCATTTGTCTGAAATGGGATAGGCTTTCCTGCCTGAGCAGGGGGTTGGACTAAATGACCTCCAAAGGTCCCTTCCAACATTATTATTATTATTATTATTATTATTATTATTATTATTATTATTATTATTATTATTATTGACTTCCACTCTTTATGTCGGCGTGAATGACAAAGCAGCTTCTCACCTCTTGTAAGCTTGATTTTGGGTTTTTGCAAACTCGGGCTATTATGGGTTAAGGTTTATTCAGTAATTAAGCCTCAAGTCTGTCCGTTTTGATGGCCTTATAAAACCTACGAACCCATACTTTAAATAAATAAGCCGGTGTCTTCACGTAACGCATGAATGCAACCCCAGAAAGTTAGAGCTTCAGGTGAGAGTTCAGTTCTCTTTCCGCAGGTTAAAACTTGTGACGGGTCTTTGATCTCCACTCCAGCTTTCTTTTGGGGGAGGTGGGGGGGGGGAAATCAAATATGATTTTCTTAGCAAAGGCAGCTGGGCTCCCTCACCCCGCCAATTATCCCGTCAGTGAATGTGTTCATGTCTGAACAAATTCTTCTGCTTTCTTCTCTTATCCGTTTAACACAGCGCTTCCCTTTACATGAAGCTCGTTGTTCTTCCTTCCCCCCCCAAAGTCGCGTTTAGAGGCTTAGATTTACTGCCGAGGAAGCTTACTACTAGGATAAAAACGCATCGCCTTTCCTTAGGTGGGTCATCTTGCAGGACCCTTCCCGGTTTTACAATCCTTTTATTTATTTTTGGGCAGCGGTTGTTAAGCAAATGTGGTCATAAAGTGAAGCCGGGGTGGTTAAGTGAACATTGTGGTTGTTAAGAAACTCACTGTCCCGCAGCGTCCATTTTTTTTTTTTTTTTTTTTGCTTCAAATAGGAAGCAAACCCCAATTCTTGGCAATAATAATAATAATAATAATAATAATAATAATAATAATAATAATAATAATATCCAGGTAACAGAGGAGGAGGAGGAGAAGGAGGAGGAGGAGGAGGAGTTGGGATCACGTGACCAGGGGATGCTTACAAAGATTGTAAATGTGGGCCGGTTACTGGATTCCCAAAATGTAATCACACTTGGTTACTACGATGTAAAAAAGATGTTGAGATTCTAGAAAGAGTGCAGAGAAGAGCAACAAAGATGATTAGGGGACTGGAGGCTAAAACATATCAGGAAGGGTTGCTGGAATTGGATATGTCTGGTTTAATGAAAAGAAGGACCGGGGGTAACATGATAGCAATGTTCCAATATCTCAGGGGCTGCCCCAAAGAAGAGGGAGTCAAGCTCTTCTCCAAATCGCCTGAAGGGAGGACAAGAAGCAATGGATGGAAACTAATCAAGGAGAGAAGCAACCTAGAACTAAGGAGAAACTTCCTGACAGTTAGAACAATTAACCAGTGGAACAACCTGCCTCCAGAAGCGGTGAATGCTCCAACCCTGGAAGTTTTAAAGAAGAGACTGGACAGCCATTTGTCCGAAATGCTATAGGTTCTCCTGCCTGAGCAGGGGGTTGGACTAGAAGACCTCCAAGGTCCCTTCCAACTTTATTATTATAAGTATAAACCAGTTGCCAAGCGTCTGAATTTTGATCACATGATCACAGGGATGCTGCCCAGGTTGTAACGGTGACAAATGGTCCTAAGTCACATTTTTCAGTTGCCGTTGTCACTTTGAACGGCCACTAAGCGAAGTGTTGTGAGTTGTGGACTGCCTGTAATCCATTTTATATTTTAACCTTTCTTTGACCTGGTCCTTGAAGAGCTCGGATAGCCCAGCGATCGATAAAGAGAAGAAATAATAGCATCACCCATGAAATGTGATGTATCCTGTTGTGGGCGTTGTGATGCATTTTTTTTGTCTTGAGTGATAACAAGTTTAACGGAGCAAGGAAAACGCAGGGCACCTGCTTCTTCTCCCAAGCCGTAATCTGCAGCTTAGGATGGTCCTTAAGCAATGAATTTGTGACAGGCCTTTTCCCTTTTTTTCTCCCGAGCTAAATGTGTCACTTCCCTTCCTTTTCTCTTTATGAAAACTACACCGACGGGAGGCCGTTTCCTCTGAAACTACATATCCTTTCAGAAGGACTCAGTAATTGATTTCTACGCCCATTAAAAGGCCTTATTCAGGAACTTTCTGACTTTAGGAAATCTTTTTGACCTCAGCTTGTCTTGGCCAAGAAATCCACGTATTTCGTCCAAGAAGAAAATTTGCATCGGTTTGAAGATTTGAGAAACCTATTCTGGGATGGTTTCCCCAAATCTAATGACTTTGGTTGCTCAGGCAGGAAAGCCTATCCCATTTCAGACAAATGGCTGTCCTGTCTCTTCTTAAAAACCTCCAGTGTTGGAGCATTTACTGCTTCTGGAGGCAGGTTGTTCCACTGGTTAATTGTTCTGACTGTCAGGAAATTTCTCCTTGGTTCTAGGTTGCTTCTCTCCTTGATTAGTTTCCATCCGTTGCTTCTTGTCCTGCCTTCAGGAGCTTTGGAGAATAGCTTGACTCCCTCTTCTTTGGGGCAGTTCATGTAGGAATTTCAAGGAACCTTCTCTTCTTCAGTGAATTATGGGTGTGAGATACTCCATCCCACAGCTTCTCCCCACCCACCCTTAGCTGCCAACCTCTAAAGAAGGATGAAGAGTTCCTGAGTCTTCCCGAGGCAGGGGGTTGGACTAGAAGACCTCCAAGGTCCCTTTCGACTCTCATCCTTCTCTGTTCTAAATCTCTCCCCTGCCTGCCTGTGAATCACTCTGAGGCCGTCTGCTGATACGATAACTTTTCAGGAATAAAGATAATGGCTTTAGGTTTAAATTTATGACCGGGTGTTTCCTAAAATTAAGCCTTGAGTGGATTTTGGAACTGCTGGACAGGAAATAAGCTAATAATGGGATTTTTGCAAGTTTTCCCATATATGGGAGTAAAAAATTGCCATAGGTTACAGGCTGACCTCCCTCTGCTTGGGTGAATCTTTTTCAAAACGTCTTTGTTCTCCTCGACTGTGGGACACCCAGGGAGAGAAAAACATGCTGCTGTACAGCCAGGCTGTGGTGTCATTGTGAAGGTCACTTTCACATTTTTATTTCTTCACGGGTGTTGCATCAGGACACAACTCAACGGCAGTGTTTTTGAGACCAATTTGTCAGCGGATGCAGTTGGTTTATCCCTCACTCTTTCATCTTCCGACAATACACACAACTGCATTGGCAGATGCGCTGGCAATATTTGGGGAAAAATTCTCCCTTAGCTCTTCTTTCTCATTTGTCTCTCCTTTTCTTTTCTTTTCTTTTTTTCATTTAAAAAAAATCTTATTCAGAAGATTAAAATACCTAATCCAAAAGAGAAAAGGTCGCAAAAGCGGATCATGTGACCCTGGGATGCTGCAACTGTCGTAAATACGAGTCATCTGAATTTTGATCAGGTGACCCTGGGGAACGGTACAAAGGTCATAAGGATGAAAAACCTATGTCCCTTTTTTCAGCGCCGTTGCAAGTTCAAACGGACACTAAATAGACCGTTGTAAGTCGAGGACTACCTGAATAACGTACTAAAAAAAATAGAAATGGAATTGGTTGTGTTTGTTTGATGGACTGCCTTGAAGGGTTGACATGGTTCAACACAACGTTCACTTACCACGCTAAACCACGGCCTCTTCTTTTTCTCTCTTTGCAGTGACATATTTGACGCCATGTTCCCTGTCACCCACATTGCTGGAGAGATTGTGATCCAACAAGGTGAGCTTCATGCATTGACAGCATGCGCCAGTGTTGTCCTTGCTCAGATCGTTCATCATTTACAGAATCTATGCATACCTTGACTCCTTCAAGGGGGGCAAATCAATCCACGTTTAAGTCTCTTCTGCAAAGTCTGCATCTATGGGTGCTGGGTCCCAAAGACTTCATTTTCTGAGCAGAAGCTGGAAGGCGGGCTTCGAGTCTTTCCTTCGTACCTCCTCACTAGCCTGGAGTTTCCTGGAAGTTTCCATTATAGAAACTATACGGGACATTGGATTCAAAGGTCAGGAGACGCTTGGAAGGGTGAAGAGAGGTACACAGCAACAGCATTTATATACCGCTTCACGGTGCTTTATAGCCCTCTCTAAGTGGTTTACAGAGTCAGCCTTCTGCCCCCAACAATCTGGGGTCCTCATTTTACCGACCTGGGAAGGATGGAAGGCTGAGTCGACCGTGAGCCAGTCAGGATTGAACTCCTGGCTGTGGATAGAGTTAGCCTGCAATTGCCCAGTTTCATAGATCTACAGTTGAGGAACATCAACTCTCTTCAATCTTGGTCTGGTTTCCTTATCCTGAACAGGAGGCTTAATAACAGAAACATCCCTTCCTACTTAGCATTCTCTGATCAAGTATTTCCAAAGCTGGTACAAAACCACACTCTGAGTTGACGGGCTCTGATTTGTATTTCTGTCCCCCCCCCCCCGTAGGTGACGAAGGTGACAACTTCTACGTGATTGATCATGGGGAGGTGTATGTAAGTTGCAACTGGCTTCTTTGAAAGACTTTCTTTTCCTTTAATGTTGTCTTCCTTTTTTATAGAAATGTATTGATGTTCTGGCTAAGATATCAGCAAGGGAACGTCTGACTCCTCCTTACTGATGACCTAGAGAGGAAAGGAATGTGTGAACCCTATTCAGACATTGCTCTGAGCCCTGATGTGATTGGTTTGGTGTCAGATTAATTATTCCAGGCACTGAGTGGTTGCAAGTCAGGTTTATGAAGAACATTCCTGTGTGTTTCACTACTCTGGTGTATTGCCAAGTGCGAAGAATCAGGTCCATATATTAAATTCCAATTAAGCTGATTTATTGTTCGTGCCTATACACGAGAATTGGGTATATCTAGTTTAGCGAAGAGAAGGACGAGGGGGGACATGATAGCAGTCTTCCAATATCTCAGGGGCTGCCCCAAAGAAGAGGGAGTCAAGCTATTCTCCAAAGCGCCTGAAGGCAGGACAAGAAGCAACGGATGGACACTAACCAAGGAGAGAAGCACCTAGAACTAAGGAGGAATTTCCTGACAGTCAGAACAATTAATCAGTGGAACAACCTGCCTCCAGAAGCGGTGAATGCTCCAACACTGGAAGTTTTTAAGAAGAGACTAGACAGCCATTTGTCTGAAATGGTATAGGGTCTCCTGCCTGAGCAGGGGGTTGGACTAGAAGACCTCCAAGGTCTCTTCCCACTCTGTCTATTCTATTCTATTCTATTCTATTCTATTCTATTCTATTCTATTCTATTCTATTCTATTCTATTCTATTCTATTCTATTCTTCCCATGAATTGCCATCAGGAGCCAAACTTATTTGTCCGCATAAAGTCGCTTAATGGCGTATCATAAGCCAACAAATTATTTTAGGTTTAAAGCCTCAGAGTAACCAGGCCTGCAGGCCATGCAGTTTACCACTAAACAATCTCAAGATGGAAGGTGATCAAGTTGGAATGTGCCCGAAGCGTTGGGTGTTTTTTTTTTGCTAATCATTTAGGATTAGGTCATCTCTCTCTCTCTCTCTCTCTCTCTGTCTCATGCCTTCTGTAAAGAGTAAGTAAGAAGCCTCAGGCAAGTGATTTTCTTCTTCAGAAGATTCAATTTGCTTTTCCAAGTTGCTCTGAAGGGTTGGAGCCTTGCAAGTGGTGACACCTGAAGATGAAAGCTTCCCTCTGGACTGCTCGGGTGGGCCTGCAAACGGGACTTCAAGAATTTTTGAGGAAAAGAATGGCAGGGCTGGGAACAAAATGCATTGTTTAAAAGGAGTTTGGGTGTTGTATCTAACAAAGTTTGGAACTGGGAGATGAACAGAAAAGGAGATTTCTGAAGGTGGAGGCTACAGGCAGTCCTCAACTTATAATTCTATTCTATTCTATTCTATTCTATTCTATTCTATTCTATTCTATTCTATTCTATTCTATTCTATTCTATTCTATTCCATTCCGAATTCTATTCTATTCTATTCTATTCCATTCCATTCTCATTCTTTGATATTTTCTTTGGAATTATTCTTTTCTTTGATGGTGGTGAGAAGATGATGAGACGGATCATTCTGTGGCTTCCTAGAGTGTATCAAAATAAAGTTTGACAGTCTTTTCCCACCCAGGTGCTATTTTAAGAAGCAGCTAGCGTATTTAAAGCCACCCAGCAGCTCCTTGCAGCTATTTAGGGAGACACAGTCTCTTTTTATGGCGAGTCCTGGGTGGGTCAGGAGGTCATCTAATTAAGCATTGTTGGGCATTGAAAGCCTGTCCCAAAGTCACCGTCTCCTCAAGAAATCCGACTGACTCATTCTTCCGACTGGGGAAGTGAGGACGTCTCCATTTGAAGCCTGCCACAACTGCAGGGCGAACGGGGATGGAGACGAAATACGGTTGAGCCTCATTGCAAGGAGGGCGATGAAGATAGCTCTAAGGTGGCCCTTGTTTCTGGTTTTCAAATCTTAACCAGGCAGTTTTTTTTAACTGGGTCACATCCAATTTTCAGCTTCTGGCCACGATTTGTTAAGGGACTCCCTTCAGTTGTGAGTGACTCACACGGCCGTTAAATTAATCCATCTTTCCCAATTGTCTTTGCTGCTGGAAAGATGGCAGCTGTTAAGTTAGAAACAACAGTTGTTAAGTGAATCTGGCTTGTCAGAAGATCATAAGACTCCAGGACACGGCAACGGTCATAAATATGAGTCAGTTGCCAGTTGTCTGAATTTTGTTTTTGTTTTTTTAAAAAATACGTTTTATTAACAACTAAATTTCATTTTTGATGTGTGCCGTTGTGCCCACAGTAAAAAAATGACAATAAATGTTATCTTATCTTATTTTTTTTAACATAATCACCTTAATATTCGGTGGACAATGCATTGTCTGGGTTTACATTTAGCAAACATTCACTAACAATTAGGTTCTATAATCTATAATAATCCCCATAATAACTTTACACGATTTCCTCTTTTCCCCATAGTGTTCTCTTTCACCAACCTTAAGTTAACACAATTCTTACTGTTTTGAATAAATGATAATTAAGTATAAGGATTTCCTAGCATTTCTACAAATAATAATCACAACAACATAATATTCCATTTCTATTTAGTCAGTCTGGTTGTGTCATCGTATGCCCTGTTTACAGCTCTTGTTTACCTTTGTTTTTCCCACAGTGTTCTAAACCTTTTTACTGGTTAAGATTTTCTCAGAGTTAATTACATTTAAATCTATTTTTTTTTCTCCTGTAAACCAACCCAATACTTTTACCTTTCTGAATTTTGATGCTGCGAGAGTTGTAAGTGTAAAAACCGGTTCTAAGTCATTTTTTTTCCAGTGCAGTTGTAACTCTGAACGTTCGCTAAACAAACCTGTGTATCCATGTTCGTTAAGCGATGCATCCATTAAGGTCTCAGGCCCAGCCTGTTGGAGCAGGCTTACAAGGCAACTTCTGAGACTGCGAAAAAACAATGCTGCTTTTAGCCGGCTATCGACTCTCACCCACTATCTCTCCAAAATATTTTTTCTCTCAAAACAAAGCCGTCCCAGGTCTCTATTTTGAACACTTTAGCTGACCACGCTTTAGTTTTTTTTTTTGCTAGAGCAGAAGAGGTAAAAAAAAACAACAGAAAAACAACAATAGCCATCAGCGAGGCTTGTCTAATTAAAATAACCGCCCGGCGGGGTTTATATTTAGAACGACAGATTAGGCATTTTAATTTTGATTTATATTTTCTTTGGCCAGTCCCAAACCCACACTTTGGAGCTGCAACTTTCAACCTTTTTTTTTTTTTAAGGGAAGCCTGTTATTTCTATTTTGACCCAAAATGTTTTGGGCAGGCTGCCCTGTTTCCACAGCTACCGAAGCTGTCGCCTGACCACGAAAACGGAACAGATCTCCTATCTGCTGGAACCGTATTCCATATTTGGAGTTTCTGACTCAGGAATAACAAGCCAGGTCTTCTTACAGCTCACGGATCAGACCATAACTCCAGCGGGGCGGATTTCAAGAGGAAGCAAATGGACCAGCGAGCTGTTTTTATTTATCAGAGACAATTCACATTTCATAAGGAGATGCTGTCTCCATTTCTTACAGATCAGGGCTGGGAAATCTGGGGGGGGTCAGGAGGCGTGCGGGGCCCAACCCCTTTTCTCCATGCCCCACATTGCTTCAAGAAACACTGAGGACTAGCAGCCCAGCTGACAGAATTCAGGCTTTCAAGCAACCAAAAAGGCAGCTCTTCTTAATTTCTTCTCGATTTCTTTCCATTCTTTCCATTTCCATAACAGCGCCTCGCTTTGCAACTAAAATTCCCCATGGGAATTTTCCTTGTGGGATCACACGACCCCCTGGGATGCTGCAAACTGTCGTAAATATGAACCCCGATCGCACAAACATCTGAACTTTGATTAGGTGACCCTGGGGGCATGTGTGCTGCAGTGTACTTAAGCGTGGAAAAACAGTCACAAGTCCCTTTGTTCAGTGCCTTGTAATTTTGAATGGTCACTAAATGAATAAGTCGAGGACCGCCTGTATGATTCCTGCAATGGTTACTGAGTCGCTAGTTGCTGGCCAGAGAAAGGGAGACGGGTGAAGTGGGAGCTGTGGGGAAGAGAGCCGTGACTCATATCAAAAGCGATGGAAAACAATAGAAGCCCAGAATGTTTTTGATCTTTGCAAAGCTGCAGGCTTTTGCCAGAATCATAACTCTTCATATTTGGGTATCTCCAGCTCTGCATTCCTTTGCAAAGACATGAAAGTGAGAGAGGGAGGGAGGGAGGGAGGGAAGGAGGAGGGTGGGGAAGGGGGGAAAGTCAGATCTTTGGCTACTGTGTAGATGGGCTCCGCAGCTCCAGCCATGGAAAAGGAATTTTGGCTTGTTTTTAACCCACGTTTTCAGAGTCCCGTAGATAGATACCTGGGCTGAGCTGACCTATTAACTCAGGGTTTGAAGTTTTGGTCTGAAATTGTCCCTTGATCTTTCCTCGGCAGATCCCCGCCGACAAGATAAAATTGAGGGTCTTTATTTGATTTCCTTCTTCATCTTCTCATGATATTTTTTCTCAACTTCCAATCTTTGATCATGTTGTGGTGACTGTGTTGTTAACAGACATGCCTTCTTTCCTTCCTTCCTTCCTTCCTTCCTTCCTTCCTTCCTTCCTTCCTTCCTTCCTTCCTTCCTTCCTTCCTTCCTTCCCTCCCTCCCCCCTCCTCCTTCCTTCCTTCCTTCCTTCCTTCCTTCCTTTCTCTTTCCTTCCTTCCCTCCCTCCCTCCTTCCTTTCTTTCTCTTTCCTTCCTTCCTTCCCTCCCTCCTTTCTTCCTTTCTTTCTCTTTCCTTCTTTCCTTCCTTCCCTCCCACCCTCCCTCCTTCCTTCCCTCCCTCCCTCCCTTGTTCCTGCCTTCCTTCCTTTCTTCCTTCTTTTCCTTCCTTTCCCTTCCCTCTCTCCCTTGTTTCTTCCTTCCTTCCTTCTCTCCCTCCCTCCCTTGTTCCTTCCTTCTTTCCCTCCCTCCCTTGTTTTTTCCTTCCTTCCTTCCTTCTTCCCTTCCTTCCCTTCTCTTCCCTCCCTCCCTTCCTCCCTCCCCCATTTCTTTTTCTTCCATCTCCTAAGAGCCAGATCATGCAAGTAAACCTGAACTTGCGAGCAGAGGCCAGAGTGACAGGGCAGTTCATCAACAACGTACTTTCTCATCATCATAAAATGTTGGGTGGAACACGGAGGTTGAAACCTTGAGGACCATAAGTTCTCCTCTCTAGCAGACTGGCCTTTTTGTAGAGGTGACCTTTTCCCTGTCCGATGGTCCGGAGACTCCAAAATTGACATTTCCATCTAGGAAGCAAGTTCTTAAATTCACAGACAGAAGGATGATCATGCAGTGGTCCTTTCTCACCCTCCATTCTGCCTGAGACAGCAGAGCTAAAGCTGCCATAATCCCCAGCTTGTCTGGCCGTGGGAAGGATGGGAGCTGTAGTCCAACCAATCCAGAGAGCATCAGATTTAGGACCGTTGGTCCAAGAGAAGATGAGCAAATTTCAAGTGAAGGTCTTAGTGCTGAAGGCAACGAAGCAACAAGATCCCTTCCATCACCCCTGGAAGAATTCTCCTCTTTCTTTGATTTCTGATATTTCTGCTAAGTTGTGTTTTCTTTGGCAGCAATTCCGAAGTTGTTTCCCTTGTTATCTCCTGCGATTTTTTTTTCTTTTTTCTTTTTTCCCCTTAATGTCTTAGTTCCGCCTACGGGGCCTGGACTTTCCAGAGTGGTCTCTGGGATTGGAGGTTTCTGGGTTGTTGTTTTTTAAATCTTGAAACCAAAGTTTAAGTCAAGGCCACCTTCCAATAGAAGAGGCTTCTTTCCTGAGCAAGATGCCTGAAAAGGATTGTAAGTCAAGAGGGCAAGAAATGAATGAACTTTTGAAAGGAAGGGAAGAGACCTGGGGCGTGATTACTATTTGCAGAAACATGAGAAAAATGTCCATAGTCCATTGTCATCTGTTTAAATAAGAACGGCGTCAATTTAAGGTTGGCAAAAGAGAATCTTATTGGAAGAAGAAGAAATCAAGTAAAGCTACTATACCAGTGGTTCTCAACCTGTGGGTTGGGACCCCATTTGTGGTCGAACGACCATTTCACGGGGGTCGCCAAACAACGCAGTCTGCCATTTTCCCCCCCTTTTCCTTAGCTGTGCTACTCCCTTTTATTCTACTGGCTTTTGAAAGCCAATAGAATAGACTCTCTTGAATAGAGTCTAATTCTATTGGCTTTCAAAAGCCAATAGGAATTGTCCAGGCTGTCTCTGCCCTGCTGAGCCCGCCAAAAGTCCCATTCTGCAAACAGTGCTGCACCAGTTGAGTAGTCCTCAACTTATGACTGGTTGAGTAGTCCTCGACTTACGACTGGTTGGGGGGTCGCAGCATTAAAAAGGTTGAGAACCACTGGTATAGGGTTTCCTGCCTGAGCAGGGGGTTGGACTAGAGGATCTCCAGGGTCCCTTCCAACATCATCATCATCATTATTATTATTATTATTATTATTATTATTCCCAGACATGTCACTGGAAGGCAAAATCATGAAACTGCCTCTCGCTTCCTTTGGCTGTGTTGTGCGGGGAAATTGATTGGAGAAAGCAGTTAAGTTGGGAAGCGTTAGCAACAAAAGGAAACCAGCCCGCCAAAGAACATGGCGGCTGGACACTCTCAAAGCTGACACCAGCCAGAGCGTAGAAAAAAAGAAGTACAGGCAATCCTCAACTTACGATCGCAGTTCAGCCCAAAATCTCTGCAATGAAATGAGACCTTTGTTCAGTGAGTTTGGGCCCATTTTATGTCCTTCCTTTCCACGGTGGTTAAGTGAATCACTGCAGCTGATCAGTTAGTAACACAGTTGTTAAGTGAATCTGGTTTCCTCGTGGATTTTTGCTTATCAGAAAGTTGCAAAAGGCAATCACGTGAGCCCCAGGACAAAGCAACGGTCGTAAGTATGAAGCAAGGCCCAAGCAGCTGAATGTTGATCCCATGAGCGTAGGGATGCTTCAAGGGCCATAGGGGTGAAAAATGGTCGTAAGTCACTGTTTTCACTGCCGTTGTAACTTTGAACGGTCCCTAAATGAACAGGTGTAAGTTGAGGACTACCTGAGGGGCAAGATCAGAAGATGTGGAGAGACTTGTCCCGTAGAATCGCCAAGAGTTGGACGTGACTGAATGGGTAACCTCATGGTTATCCTCATGTTTTTCCCAAAGGTGCTTTTTTTCCAGAAGGCAACTGGATACCAAGAAAGTCCAGTTGCCTTTTAGCAAAAGCACCTTTGGGACAACCATGGCCTGGGTGACTGAGAATCTCCATACTCTTGTGTGTTTTGTATGCTTGCATTGTCTATTTTTGGAGAGGACCTGTTCCTTTCTCCCCTTCCTTCTCTCAACAAGAGCTAACTTGCTTTTTCGTTCTTTAATTCAGGTGTATGTGAATGGAGAATTGGTCACCAGCATCGGAGAAGGAGGCAGCTTTGGAGAACTGGCCCTCATTTATGGAACCCCACGAGCCGCAACGGTCAAAGCAAAGACTGATCTTAAACTCTGGGGGATTGACCGAGATAGCTACAGACGCATCTTGATGGTGGGTTTCAAAAACAAGCTGTTTCTTTAAGTGACCCCCTTCCAAGCATTCTCTCAACTTTCATTGAAAGAGTTTGTCAATGTGGGGAAAGGTCCTTGAAATGTAGGCCTGGAGGGCGGAGGTATAGGGCCAACTGTCTTTATAAAAGGAAAAGGCAACATGCTGATTTGTGCTGCATACAATTTATAAGAGAGAAAAGTGTCCAAAATTAGACAAAACGCTATTTATGGGCATGAGAAGCTTTGGATTGTTCTCTTTCTTCTAGAGAAATTAAATTAAGTTCATTTTGGGGTCATGGAGAGCTACAATCAGATCTGGAGGCGCAGTTCTGTTGACCGAAGAAGGGCTTGTAGCCGTGATGAACTTCTTAATATTTACTTCTTCCACTCCAGAGGTTTGAAAGCAGCTTTGCTCAGCTGCCACATCCGATGGGTTGGATGGGAAATGGAGAGTTATACTGCCAACACATCTGGAGACGCCAGGCAACGGAAAGGTGAATTTGGCTGCTGGCCTTACGTAACCTTGCCCTTGGTCGCAAGGAAGGTCACTTAAAACATGCTAGCATTTGAAAAGATGGAGAGAGGAGGTGATGTTTCAGAGGAGATATTTCGTGCACTGAAGTTTAAAATCTTCTAAGATCTGGTGTGAGGATGCCCAAAAATGCAAAAGATCCACCAGTTTTTATTTTTTTTATTTTTCGCATCCTCGTACCAGATCTTAGAGGATTTTAAGCTTGAATGCAAATGCCTCGGGCAACTGATTCATATTTGTGACGGCGGCAGCGTCCCCGGGGGACACGTGATCCCCTTTTGCGACCTTCTGATAAGCAAAATCAATGGGGGAAACCAGGTTCACTTCACAACCGTGTTAGTAACTCAGCACATGCAGTAATTCACTTAACATCTGTGGCAAGGAAGGGGGCAAAACTCACTGAACAATAGTCTGACTTAGCAACAGAGGTTTTGGGCTTGGCTGTGGTCCTAAGTCGAGGACTACCTGCATCTCACCATTAGACTGGGAGATAATCCTTGTGGTCTACTCAGTTGGCCAAACTCTTCTTAAAAACTCCCAGTGTTGGAGCATTCACCACTTCTGGAGCGAGTTGCCTCCAGAAGTGGTGAATGCTCCAACACTGGGAGTTTTTAAGAAGAGACTGGACAGCCATTTGTCTGAAATGGTGTAGGGCCGTGGTGGCGAACCTAGGGCACGCATGCCACAGGTGGCACACAGAGCCCTCTCTGTGGGCATGCGCACTGTCGCCCCAGTCCTAGGCCTTCAGCTGGGTTTTATAAAACCTTTTCGCTTTAGGCCTCCGCCGCTGTGTGTAAAAAAAAAAAAAAAAAGGTTCAGTCAATCAATCAATTTCAAGATCTCGCAAAGTTGTAATTTATTGATTAAACTTTTTAGTCCCACCCAGTCTGCCGTTACCACCGCAGCCACGCCCACCCAATGGGCCACGCCCACCCAATGGGCCACGCCCACCCGGCACCCGACGATACATAAGTGGGTTTTGGGTTGCAGTTTGGGCACTCGGTCTCTAAAAGGTTCGCCATCACTGGTGTAGGGTTTCCTGCCTGAGCAAGGGGTTGGACTAGATGACCCCCAAGGTCCCTTCCAAGTGTGTTATTCTATTCCATTCTACTGACCCCCAAGGTGCCTTCTAAGTCTCTTCTCCCCAGCTTCGTTTTTCAAACTGAAGTTGGCACAAAGCACTCGTGTCAACAGCCTTCCCTCTTCGTTTTCCCACTCTCTTCCCTTTATTTCATCCTTTCAGCGTCCTCTCTTTCATTCCTGAGATTCTTCTGCCCTTCCCTGCTCACTGATGGCTCCTGCCTTAAGCAGTTTTCTCCAGCTTCCTTTGGAAGTTCCAAGAACCCAGTTTTCCAGCTAGCTCTTCAAAGGCTGCCTGGGGAATGGGGGGCGGGGGGGGGGGAAGAATTGAATAAAAAAAAAAATCTCTGGCTGCACAAAACCATCCAGCTTTGTCCTTTAACAGAAGAAAATTATGGAAATATCTGAAGCATCTTTTCCTCAACCTTCAAATCCATCGTGCCTCTTGGCTGGGGATTTGCGACTCCTCGCCTTAAAATAGTTCACTTAGCGACTGTTCACAGAGACAAGGGCACTGAAAGCAGTCACTCTTGACGTTTTTCACACTGACCACCCTGGCAGCATCCTCACGGCCACGGGGGGTCGAAATTCAGTCTCTTGGCAACTGACTCACATTTATGACGGTTGCATAACGTCCTGGGTTTACAGGATCCCTTTCTCTGGCCTTCTCACAAGCCAAGTCCCTGGGGAAGCCACTGTTGCTAACTTAACAGCTGCAGTGCTTCCCTTAATAACCGTGGCAAGGACGGTCGTAAAAGGGGGAAAACTCACTTAACGACTGTCTTGCTTAGCGACAGAAAATTTGCGCTCAGTTGTAAGTCGAGGACTCCCCTGTAGGTTGGGGTAACCCTGGAGGCTGGTGTAAAGCATCTCCCGTGTCCACAATGGCTAGTGATGGGGCCTTTGTTTCTTCTCCCTGTGCTTGTGTGTCCTTTGTGTTGATCTAAGGAGTTACATTTGTTGCACACTTTCATCTTGTATAAAGATGAAAGGAACCCATGATCTGATCTGGAGGTTTTTTTGGGGGGAACCGAAGGCCAGCCACGTTGTTCAGCTGGTCTTTGCTGGTTCGGCTTCCGAATTCAAGGGCATTTTGGGAAGTGTCCAGTAGACAAGAGGCAGGTGCAGAATCTGAGAGATAAGCTGGATGAATGGAAATGAAACTTGGAAGTAAGAGAGTCAGAGGCTAAAAGGCTGGGGGGAGGAGGAGGAGGAGGAGGAAAGATGGGTTGGCATTGCGAAAGGGGCTGCAAAAAAAAAAAAAAAAAAAAATCACACGGGACCGAATGGGTGGGAGTGTGGAGTAAGCGATGGAAGCCTGGAGGCTGCAGAGGATTAACTCAGCCTGATAAGACACAGCATTGCTTTCCACAGTTGCTGCTTTCTCCTTCCTTCCTTCCTTCCTTCCTTCCTTCCTTCCTTCCTTCCTTCCTTCCTTCCTCACTCACTCACTTCCTCTTTTCCTTCCTTCTTTCCTTTCTTCCTTCCTTCCCTCCTTCCCTCTTTTCCTTCCTTCCTTCCTTCTTTCCTTTCTTCTCTCCCTCCCTCCCTTTTCCTTCCTTCTTTTTCCCTCCCTCCCTCCTTCTTCCCTCCCTCTCTTTTCTTTCTTTCTTTCTTTCTTTCTTTCTTTCTTTCTTTCTTTCTTTCTTTCTTTCTTTCTTTCTTTCCTTCCTTCGTTCTTTCCTTCCTTCCTTCCTTCCTTCCTTCCTTCCTTCCTTCCTTCCTTCCTTCCTTCCTTCCTTCCTTTCTCCCCCCCTCCTTTCCTTCCTTCCTTCCTTCCTGAACACAGGACCATAGAGTTGAGAACTTTAGCAACGTGCATATTGACAAAAATGATTATCCACATTAAAAAGACCATTCAAATGCATTTTTGGGGGGAGAAATTAATATTTCTAATCCAGCCAACCGTTGAGGCTCTCAGTTCTCCTGAATGTCATTGGGAGACCCCCCCCCTCAAGATCAAACCCATAGAAAACCCACAACGGTTTCTTAAAATCTGCAGCTGTTCCCATCCCCAGGTTTCCCCGGTGTACATAACTCTTATGTCGATCCCGAACTCACCACCGACAAGGCAAGGAGGGAATCAACCTTCCCCCCAAAGAAGACATCTGGGCAAGGTTTTCAAGGGCAAGGGGGGGGGGTAGAGAAAGAAGCCATTCCCACTGCCCTTATCGGTCTTTCAGAGCTGAAGGAAGCTGGTAGTCTTGCTCTACCTCCCACGACTACGTCTAATTGTCCCCCAAAGGCGAATGAAAAGGATGGGGCAGGAGATAATGAACAGGTGCTTAATGTTGGATTGCCCCCCCCCCCCAGATTCCTGGTGCCAGCAACACTGCATAACATTGAGATACTCATCACTCCCTTTGGCCTGGCTTGGAGTCTTAGGACTATAAAGTCTCTTTGTTGCATTCTGTGACCAAATTGAGTTGGTATCCTCTCTCCTGTCTTTGTTTATTTATTAATTCTCCACATTAACACAGTTTACTAAGCTCCCCACGCTGAGGCATTAATCAACCATCTACCTTCCCTTCCAATCTGGCACATTACTCAGTCCTTTCTCCGAAGGAAAGTGGGTAAGCCTGCTCTCTCGTTGGGATAGTTGCCCGCTAAATCTATCTTCCTGAAAAAAAAATTTTTTTCCCCCCCTTAGCTTCTCTCTGGGTCCATGTCAAGCCAAAATCCATCCAGCCTGGAACGGAAGGCCTTAGAAAAGCAATAATAATCCTCAAGCTTCCAACACTGCGACGCAGTCCATAAATCACGGTTGAGGGTTTTAGTCCTAGGTGAACTTTTGGGTGGGTTGGTTGGGACCGTCCTGGCGATGAGATGGCCAGGCGGAGGGCGCAAGGCTGCAGGTGTGATACTTTGTCAGACCAGACAACTGAGGTTGTCACTTTCCTGGCCCGTTGCTTAAGTGATGCATTTGCAAGGACTAATTGAAATGGCATTTGCTCTTATTTTTCGGTTGCATATCAGATTGCAAATTCTGGACTCGCTGACTGCCTGTAAATCTTCTATTTTCCAAGCTGACTTGGCATTGCTTTCCTCCTCCTCCTTCTCCTTCTGTTTTTTTCCTACGGAATATTTGTATTGCTTTCCCCCTGCTTTGTTCTTGCACTTGTCATTTTATACATCTGAAGTCTCCCCTCGTGGCTTAAATGCTTGCTAATACTGTGCAGAATTTTGGATCGGATTCCTCCAAGGTGGTGCGTTGCAACACTGGAAAGTGCACAGGTCTTTATCTGCACGTAACCCCTTAATCCCTTTTCCCCCTGGGTGGGTCATTGCGACATCTCGGCAGTTGTATGATCCCAGGGAGAGATCCAGCTGTTTTGTAGGTTTTCACATGCCGCATCTTTTTACTTGACGCTCTCCAGACTTAGAGGGATCACCAGCTAAAAAGGGTGCAGTGGATCTCTGCTGCTGTGATCTCAATGCTTGACACATTCTCTGGACCAGGGGTCTTCAAGCTTGGCCCTTTTATGACTTGTGGTCTTCAACTCCCAGAATTCCTCAGCCAGGCACGTGTGCCTGGCTGAGGAATTCTGGGAGTTGAAGTCCGCAAGTCATAAAAGGGCCAAGTTTGAAGACCCTTGCTTGTGGACTTCAACTCCCAGAATTCCCCAGCCAGGCATGCTGGCTGAGGAATTCTGGGAGTTGAAGTCCACAAGTCATAAAAGGGCCAAGTTTGAAGACCTTTGCTTGTGGACTTCAACTCCCAAAATTCCCAAGCCAGGCATGCTGGCTGAGGAATGCTAGGAGGTGAAGTCCACAAGTCATAAAAGGGCCAAGTTTGAAGAGCCCTGCTCTTGACCATCCAGAACATTTAACTCTGCATCTCCAAGATTATGATCCATCACCTGCAGCCCCTTTAGGATTGATTTCAGGTGGTGTCGGTGACCCAGAGGGGACGAAACGTGTTCCTTTCCGTGTACAGTTTCCATCTGAGACACATGCACAATCTGGAACGGGATGGCCCCGAGCAAACCTTAGCCTGTGATTTAATGGAGTTGTCTTGGGATCAGAGACGGTAATATATAACAGCTTTTGGAAAGGGATCAATCCCTCCACTCCATCAGGCTATTATTTACCCTTGGCATGACTTTTTCCCCCCCTTTCGTACTGCATCATCGCTCCAACCCGAGGGATCACTCTTATTCTCGTTTTGAACAGCTGGTTAAAAAGAAAAAAGGAAAGAGAACTTGGAGTTTCTTAGAGGTCATTTGGCCATTGGCTACACCGATCTGGTGATTCTGTCTTGCTTAAACAGCAACGGAGAGCAATGGGAAGAGCGAGGGAGCCTTGCAGTTCTGAGAAGCCCAGAGAGCGGGCGTTTCATTTGATATCCTGGTCCTTTTTGCCCTGCGCCCCTCCCTCCTAACCTAAGTCTGGTTTTAATTACCTCTGTGGGTTGGAGAGTCCTCCTGCTCCGTGATTATTGCTTCTTAAAATTTTTCTGCAACCCACACTTGGCTGGAAGGCAGGATGCCACCTCCGGATGGGTTGCTCCACCCCGATGCAGCCCATTGGCGTGGGAGAAGACACCTGCCTTTCTTTCTCCAGCTGTCAGTATCTGCTGGCCACTTGTTACTTCCCAGCCCGGATTGGTGTGGGACGCTGTCCAGTTTTCCCTCCTTGGTCTTGCGTTGAGCTGTCTGGTCTTTCCAAGGCTCTGGAAATTCCCCCCCCACACACACACACACAGTGTCAAAGTTTGCCTTGCATTTTGGGAAAAACCACCTGGATTGGACCAGCAATGGTCTTCAAGAAAGACTTTAGGAAAGGAAGGTTGCCCCCCCTCCTCCCCCCCAGCTTCCAGAATCTCCAGCCATGCTGGTAGGGAATACTGGGGGCAACTGTCCAAGCAAATCTGGACGAGGCCGGAAAAAATAGAGTAGAATAGAGTAGAGTAGAATATAGAATATAGAATAGAATTAGAGTAGAGTAGAGTAGAGTAGAGTAGAGTAGAGTAGAGTAGAGTAGAGTAGAATAGAATAGAATAGAATTAGAATAGAATATGGAATGGAATAGAATATGGAATAGAATAGAATAGAATAGAATAGAATAGAATAGAATAGAATAGAATAGAATAGAATAGACAGATTGTAGAATGGAATGGAATAGAATAGAATAGAATAGAATAGAATAGAATCTGGAAAGGATCTTGGGGGTCTTCTAATCCAGCCCACTGCTCAAGTAGCGGACCTTATACCATTCCAGACAAATAGCTGTCCAGTCTCTCCTTAAAAACCTTCAGTGATGGAGCACCCACAATTTCTGAAGGCAGACTGTTCCACTGGTTAATTGTTCTCACTGTTAGGAAGTTCCTCCTTAATTCCAGGTTGCTTCTCCCCTTGGTTAGTTTCCATCCATGGTTTCTCGTCTTGCCTTCTGGTGCTTTGGAAAATAGATTGACCCCCCCTCTTCTTTGTGGCAGCCCCACAAATACTGGAATATTGCTATCATGTGTCCCCCTAGTCCTTCTTTCCTCTAGACAAGCCAAATCCTGCAACCATTCTTCATATGTTTTAATCTCCAGGCTTTTAAACATCCTGGTTGCTCTTCTCTGCACTCTTTGCTGGAATGTGGTGACCAAAACTAACACATGTGTCAAATAATGCCTTTGCTTTCTCTCCTCTGGTCAGTCTTAGTCTTCTTCCCCTGCTGGAATTGCACTAGCCCCTCTGAGGAGGAGAATATGGGCCCTTTTTCCTCCCTTTATAAGCAAACATTCCTGTTTGTTTAAGGCTTAAACCATCCAAATTGGGATTGGGGGGGGGGAGAAAGACTTCTTTTTGTCTTCCTAAACTGGCAAGGAGAAAGCTGGGAAGCGTCCGATTATCTGCTTAACTCCAGGTCCTTTTAGATGTGCAATCGCGGGCTCGAATCAATTCTTCACACTAATTAGCTCATCAGGATGTGGATCATACATAGTTGAGTTTTTCTCTGTTTTGAAGCTTCAGGGAAGGGAAAGGAAGGGTGTGGGTCTCCCCACCGCCCGGACATTGTGTCCCATCCGCCAACATTAAATTCCACCAACTTAAAAGAACCCGATCCAATTTATGAAGGGCGAAGTTCGCGTTTGGTGGGAACTCAGTGGGCCGAAGAGATGGGGATTACTGTTTCCTTGGCATATTTTCTCACTTTGCCTCTTAACCCTTGAGGTCTCCTCTGAGGTTGACAGCGATGTGGGCAAGCGTTAATTCTTCTCTCCCGCCCTCCTCTTTTTCTCCCCTTCTCTTTCTCCACAGGGCAACACGTTGAGAAAACGGAAAATGTATGAAGAATTTTTGAGCAAGGTGTCCATTTTGGGTGCGTAAATTTTTTCCCTCCAGGGAGCTGGATGGTTTCCTTCGCTGGGATTCAGCCTGGGCAAAACCAGACAATAAAACCTGGGGATAGGTGGTGGTGGGAGAGGTCCACCATAAGCACAAGGGTCCCAGTGGAGCTTTAAGTCTTAAAAAGGAGGAAAAAACCCACCTGGTTATGGTTTGTTCTAGGATTGTAGTATGGTGGAACGGCGGTAGGGAGTATCATCCAGTTGCCCTTTCATCCCTTAGGATCTCTGGACAAATGGGAGCGTCTGACGGTGGCCGATGCACTAGAGCCGGTCCAGTTTGAGGATGGAGAGAAAATTGTGGTCCAGGGGGAGCCAGGGGACGATTTTTTCATCATCACAGAGGTAAAGCCTGTGGCTCTCATGCCAATCTCTTTCCCAATCTCTATGCCCTCAAACGACATGGCCTTCTTCTCAATGTAGCCATAGCCAGAATGCTAACTACTATCGGTTACCAGTTATGATTGCAAACCTTAGAAGGATAAGACACCCATGGATACCCTCTCCCTCAGTCACCATTGGTACTGACAGTCCCTCCTCTCTCTGTCTGCTCTTCCCTCCCTCTCTCTCTCTAACTTCTCTGTCTGCCTGCCTGTCTATCTGTCCATCCATCATCTCTCTCTCTCTCTCTCTCTCTCTCTCTCTCTCTCTCTCTCTCTCTCTCTCTGTCTATCCTCTAGCTCAGTGGTTCTCAACCTTTCTAATGCCGCGACCCCATAATACAGTTCCCCATGTTGTGGTGACCCCCAACCACTTATACATCACCGGGTGCCAGGGGCGTGGCCAAAGAAAAGGGGGAAAAAATGGCGGACAGCCTTGTTTGGTGACCCCCGTGAAATGATCGTTCAACCCCAAATGGGGTCCCGACCCACAGGTTGAGAACCACTGCTCTAGCTAGCTAGCAATATCTAGTTAGCTATTATCTATTAAATAATCTATATCCATCTGTTATCATCTATTATGTTAAATAATCTCATCTATCAATCTATCTCTCTATATTTTTATCTATCTATCCATTTATCCATCATCTCTCACCCTCTCTGTCTCTCTGTCTCTCTCTCTCCTCTCAATCTCTCTCTCTTCTTCACTCACCTGTGTTCCCCTCTGTGTTCTTTCTCTCTTCCTCTTGACCTGGGGTCTTCAAGCTTGGCCCTTTTATGACTTGTGGACTTCAACTCCCAGAATTCCTCAGCTAGCCTGCCTGGCTGAGGAATTCTGAGAGTTGAAGTCCACAAGTCATAAAAGGGCCAAGTTTGAAGACCCCTGCTCTTGACTCAAGGTTTTTGCTTTTTATTATATTATGCGTTCCATAATGCGTAGAGACTCTAGAAAGCAGGATGGGTTTTGTGCCTCTGGTTGAACAGCTTCGTCCCGCAAAGAATCCCGGGACTTGTAATTTCTCCAGCCATGGAGAAATCTCCAGGAGGGACACTTAACCTCACTCCCTGTCACTCTAAAATTCCCAGGGCTGCCTGAAGAGAAGACGAATGATTGATAGCCTCATTTTAAGTTTCCAAGGAAGGAGATGCTTGTTGACAAACCGTAGTCCATTTTTTTCTTTTTGTGTTATTTCTGGTTTTCTTCTCGGTTTGGGGCTACAGCTTAAAGGCTCGTTTCAGGATGATTTACAACCATAACATGCCAAGAGAATTTAGTGTTCTGGGCTAAAACACCAGGGAGTCTACTTGTTTCCCATAAAATAGTATATTCACCAGCCTGCTTGCTTCCTGAGAGTTGTATTGGACCTGCCATACAGGGAAGTAATGTAAGAAGCCAGGCAGGGCAGAGCAAAGAATGAAGCTGCAAAGAGGATCCAGCTGTTAATGGCCTCTGTGCTAAAATAGTCTTCCCTGGAGCCTCTTAAGCCCGTTGCATTCTGTTGGGCCCACTTGTACCGTCGTAGTTCGGCCCTTTGGTGGCACCAGCGCAAAAGAGGCCGAAGTCCTTTTGCAACGAAGGGGTGCAAAAATAGACAGCTGCAATGTTGCCCCCAGCCTCCCTCCAATATTTTTGTTTTCTCGGGTTGTATGGACAAAGCGTTGCGCTTGTCCGAAATTGCGCTTTGGGTCCATCTGAACAGATCAGGCACGGAGTCTGCCTGTTAAATCACCCCAAAAAGATGCTTTTTCAAAATGCAGCTGGACTTTCTTGTATGTGTTTTTTTTTTTTTCCTTTGAAAACCTCTAGCTTCTCATTCAAGAGGCGTCTGCAGTTATGACTGGAGACCCAGGCTGGCTGGGGACTTCTGGGAGTTGAAGTCCACAAGTCATAAAAGTCCCCATGTTGGGAGACCCCCTGACCCTAAATCACAGTACAGATAGTCTTCAACTCACGACTGTTCGTTTAGTGACCGTTCCATGTTACAACGGCACTGCGCTGACCTGTTTTTCACACTCACGGCCTGTGTAGCATTCCCTGTGCTCAGGTGCTGCTTGGTCACTGGTTCACACTTAAGGCCGTTGCAGCGTCCCTGGGATCACGTGATCCCCTTTTGCGACCTTGAGTTGAGGTCCATTGTGGTCGTAACTGGAGGACTAGCTGCAAACAGAAATGGTTTGAACGGCGCCCATTCCTAAAAGACCATCCCGGGGTTTGCTTGGTTTGAAGAAAGCTGGGGATGGGAGTTGATTTTTTATTTTCTTCTCTCCGCCCCCCCCCCCCGCAAGCCCCTGTCATCTTTCTCTGCCTTCACACATATCCGAGATCCCCTTTCCCACCCTGCTTTTCCCTCAGCTCCAGGTTTTCCCAGACTGGGCAGATGTGGAATGCATCTGGTGGATTTTCGAGGTCACGGATTTATCCCGTTTGAGATTCCTGGCACTGGGGCTTAGGGCCTTAAGCTCTGCGCAGGGACTGTTGCCATGAAGAATTACGATTTGGCAGGGCGACGCTCGGCAGATGCGCCGTTCCACAATAACAAATGTGTAGCCATATCATAAACTGTGCTGCGGGCTTGGGGGAGCTTTGCCTTTTGGGTTTCTTCAAATTTTGTGGTGTGTGTGTGTGTGTGTGTGTGTGTGTGTGTGTGTGTGTGTGAGAGAGAGAGAGAGAGAGAGAGAGAGAGAGAGAGAGAGAGAGAGAGAGAGAGAGAGAGAGAAGGCACTTGTTTTAAAGAGGCAGGCTGAGATTTCTCTATTTTTCCAATCCAGCCTCCAAGAAGTATTTGTCAAATGTTTAGACCAGGGGTCTTCAAACTTGGCCCTTTTATGATTTGTGGACTTCAACTTCCAGAATTCTTGAGCCAGCCATGCTGGCTCAGGAATTCTGGGAGCTGAAGCCCACAAGTCATAAAAGGGCCTAGTTTGAAGACCCCTAGTTTAGACCATTTGTCTAAAATGGCCCAGGGTCTCCTGCTTGAGCAGGGGGTTGGACTGGAAGACCTCCAAGTTCCCTTGCAAGCCTGTTATTCTGTTCAGCGTTCCAGTATTTGAGGGGCTGCCCCAAAGAAGAGGGAGTCAAGCTAGTCTCCAAAGCACCTGAAGGCAGGACAAGAAGCAACGGATGGAAACTCATCAAGGAGAAAAGCAACCTAGAACTAAGGAGAAATTTCCTAACAGTGAGAACAATTAACCAGTGGAACAACCTGCCTCCAGAAGCGGTGAATGCTCCAACACAGGAAGCTTTTAAAAAGAGACTGGACAGACACTTGTCTCAAATGGTCTACAGCAGACATGTCAAACTTGCGACGTCACGTGACGTCGTGCAATGTATCGGGCTGGTTTTGCCATTGCCGGCAATGGGGTGGGCCTGGCTTCCACGTGATGTGTCCGGTCTGTGGGCTGGCAGTTTGACACCCCTGGTCTAGGGCCTTCTGCTTGAGCAGGGTGTTGGACTAGGTCCCTTCCAACTCTGTTATTCTGTTAAAGTAAAATACTCGTAAACTAGGATGGACTTACTAAAAATGGGAATAAGGAAAGAAAGAAAAAGAAAGAAAGAAAAAGAAAAAAAGAAAGAAAAAGAAAGAAAGAAAGAAAGAAAGAAAGAAAGAGAGAAAGAAAGAAAGAAAGAAAGAAAGAAAGAAGTCCAACTGACTTCAGAGCATTGCTGCTGGAAGCAAAACCATAGAAGGGAGCCTTATCTATACTACCTTTCCTTATAAAAAAAAAAAAGAAGAAGAGCTAAGAGGTACAAGAAAAACCATGTGGCTGGGTTCGTCTCCCCTCCCCACTCCTTGCTGCTGCTTCTCGCCTCTGCTGCTTGGGACAGCCTCTGGGCCGTGTCTAGACGCCAAAGCAGCCTTTCCATCACCTTCCTCTGTGAGATCCTTGATAACTGGAGATGCCAAGAATTAATGCAAGGACTTCTTTCTTTCTTTTTCTTTTTCGTGTTTTTTAAGCTTTAGCCACTGAGTTGGAGGCTGGCTTTGTTTTGAACTTTTGCAAAGCACCTTGAGTTTATATCATGGAACAAAAGCTGGAAAGAAAGAAGACAAAAGGCCAGGAGGGAAGTGGGGGATTAGAAAGAAGCTCAATCAGTCCCAACCCAGTTGGAGGAACTTCTAAGCTTCTGTCTTAAGGTCATCCGTCCCTCTCCTCATTTCCCGCCAGCTACCCTAAAGATGGTTAACTGAATGCGATACATATGGTTACTCCCTCTGTATTGAATTGTGTTTTTTTTCCCTTCTGAGTTGTAAAAAAAAAAAAAGGCCTGGTAGCAAACAAGGTTTGGAGGGCCACTGAGGTCTTCAGTGGATCTCAGTGGAGGCTAAAACATATAAGGAACGGTTGCTGGAATTGGGCATGTCTAGTTTAATGAAGAGAAAGACGAGGGGGGGGGACATGATAGCCGTGTTCCAATATCTCAGGGGCTGTCCCAAAGAAGAGGCAGCCAATCTATTCTCCAAAGCACCAGAAGGCAGGATAAGAAGCAACGGATGGAAACTAATCAAGAAGAGAAGCAACCTGGAACTAAGGAGGAATTTCCTGACAGTCAGAACAATTAATCAGTGGAACAGCCTGCCTCCAGAAGCGGTGAATGCTCCAAACACTGGAAGTTTTTAAGAAGAGACTGGACAGCCATTTGTCTGAAATACTATAGAATTTTGCCTGAGCAGGGGGTTGGACTAGATGACCTCCAAGGTCCCTTCTAGCCCTATGTTCTTCCATTCTCTGCTGAGGGAAGCTGCCCAGCATGAGAACTTCGTCTTTGAAAGACCAACTTGGACGTTTTCCCAAGGTTGACTTTAGCAAGCAACGGCTTTGGAAGAAGCTCTCCTGATTGAGATGTTGAGAATGAATCCAAGCTCACAGCTGCGCTCAGCCGTCTGGCCTTCTCCTGCTCCCATTCTTCCTCTGTGTCCGATCCTTTGGCTACAGTTAACAGCGAGTCCCATTTATGGCTGGACA